AGATGCAGCAATTTCTCATGCCCTAAGCACTGTAGCTTAGGACAAAACACACAGAGCAGCTCAGAGTGCAGTGCGGCTCAGAAGCAAGTGTCCATCTGCTCAGAACGAATGCGTGCTGCAGGTTTGCTACGCTTCTGCTAAGCACACACACAAAAAAATAAATAGAAATCAACTTGCTTTTACAACAAAATAATCAGTCACAAGTGCAAAAACTGTTCATAAATACATGTCTTCTGAAGGGCTCTTAACAACTCCGCACAGCAATCGTTTTTGACTGTAAAGGAGAGAATGAAGACCATGGGTGTATTCCTTCTCACTTGGTTAATGTGGATAAAAACATGTCTTTCAAACTATATAGCCTCTAACAGTTTAGGGATGGTTAGCCACAAACCCTATAAAAATAATCTGGTCTTGAAATAGCAACCTTTCCCCGCCTCTCCCCCCCCCATCCTCTTTTACTGGTATATACCAGGCTAGCTTCTCAACTGATGCATATCATCATACCTGTACTAATACCAAACGTGCCAGTTTACAACCTTCTGAAGATCTGACCCCTCTCTGCTGTCCTGGAAACAGATCTGTGGTCTCTGCAGAAAGTAATATCCTTTTATACACACACAGATGTAGGCGTCCTGCCCCCACTAGCTCATATTTAATTCTCTTTTCATCTTGTTTATTTTGTCTTCACAGTATCAAAGCAAGCTGCACACCCAGCAACAAGCTTGCAGCAAATAGGTGCATCTTATTTTCAGTGGATGGCTCTTCACAGGGCACACACTACACCCCCAAGGGATTAATGAAGAGGGCCAGGTCAGAGTCTCTACAATTTTAATTTCAGTTTGTCTGTTAGAGGAATTATGCTCAAACTTGTCTTTCCCAGTGCAGCTGGAGCAGACACAGGGATTCACAGGTAGAATGGGAAGATGCAGTGTGTGGTGACAGTAGTCACCACTCAGTACCCTGTCTCTCTGCTTCCCCAGAGATGTTGAAAAGCTGTGCACTCCCTTTCCCCACACCCCAAAGATCCAGACAGACGTGAAGAGGGCAATAGTCTGCGTGTCCTGCCCTCTACAATAACCGAGGATAGAGGTTTCTTCTGCTTGCCAGACTCTGAAATGGGCCAGATGCCT